GCTCTACGCCCCTCACAGGAAGGGGTTTCGGACAGAGTCTGGGAAAGCACAATAGAAGAAGGCCAGCAGGGCTGGCTCTCTTTGGAGGATTTTTCTCCGGAAAGTCTGCACGAGACGATAGTATCGTCTCGCTTCGGTGTCGTGCAAAAGGGCAAGGTGCGCCCCATTGATAATTTTAAGAGCAGCTTTATCAACAGCTGCTGCGGGACCACAGAGAAGGTCCAAGTCGATAGCATCGACGAGCTCCTTGCCGTGTGCCTCGAGTGGCTGCGCCAGGGTGTGCCCGCAGAGCGGGCCCACCGCATAGTAGGCAGGACCTGGGACCTCAAGAGTGCCTACAAGCAGCTTGCAGTGCAGGCCGCACACAAGAAATTCGCGTGCATAGTCATGGTAGACCCACAGAGTGGGAAGGTCAAAATCGCCCACCTACACAGCATGCCTTTCGGCGCAGTGGCTGCCGTGCACGCTTTCCTCCGCTGCAGCGAGGCGCTGAAGGCCATCGGCCGCGAAAAGCTTGCTTTGGTCATGACGAGCTTCTTCGACGACTTCACCGTTCTTACGCGCAGCGCGCATTCGAAGCTCGTCACGTTGGCAGTGTCCAACCTTTTTAACAAGCTGGGCTGGCAAGTGGCCACAGAGCCCAAGAAGAACGCCGACTTCAGCGAAGTCTTTGACGTGCTAGGCGTGCGAGTCGACTTGTCCAAGCAGCACCTTGGAGAAATCTCCGTGAGTAACAAGCCGACCCGTGCAGCAGAGCTGGGATTGGTCCTCAGCGAGGCCCTCGCCCGGGGCAGCATGTCCCCCTTGGAAGCGCAGAGCCTGCGGGGCAGGCTCATCTTCGCTGAGCAGCAAGCCTGGGGTCGCAATACTCGCATGGCAGTGATCTGCGTAGGCGACGTCCTTGGGGACGGACCAGAGCAAGTCCCCCTCACCGAGCAGCAGTGCCAAGCCATGGCGTTCCTGCTGCAACGAGTAGTGCACGGTCCGCCCAGGACAGTGTCCATTCATGCGCGCAGGAAGGTGCATCTGTACATCGACGGGGCCTGCGAGTGGGAGACCCCGCGACTGGTGCCCAAGTGTGGCCTCGGAGCAGTGCTCATTGGAGAAGGCATCGCCTTCACCTGGGGGCTTCAGATCAGCAGCCAGGTTGCAGCCCAGTGGGCCCAGAGCACAGAAGCAGCAGCTGGTCTACGAGTGCGAGCTGTTGCCCTATTTGCTTAGCCTTCAACTGTGGGCCAAGCATATAGCAGGCAGTGACCTGTTCGTCTGGATAGACAACGACGCAGCGCGTACCTCCTTACACAAGGCCTTCACACGCAAGGTAGAAGGTGCAGCGATAGTCTCGCAAGCGGTGGACTTTGAAGAGTCTCTGCAGTGCAGGGCTGCTTTCTTCCGAGTTCCGACAGACAGCAACATCGCTGATGGCCCCAGCAGAGACTGGTGGGAAGAGACCGAGAGGCTAGGCGCAGCGCGCCAATACCTGCCTCCCAACGCAGTGCCGTTGGCTTTGTCACTCGGCGCGGACTAGATGGGGGGTGAGTAAGGCTTCGAGTGCCTTCAAGGGGGGTGAACCAGTCGTTCGCCTTACCATCGACCAGCGGTCGAGTTTTTAATCGAGATGCCAGTGGCATCGTTTCGTCAGTGCCCGAAGATCGGGCCCGAACTGCCCCCCCATGTCCGCTAGGAGAAAAAAGAGAGTGTTTTGCACAGGGTTCCTCTGCAGCGCAGTTAGGGTTTCCCAAACGCGCGCTAACGGAAGTTTCGTTGGAAAATAAGCATCCATCATGCGTGCGTGAATGGGTTTTATTTTCCGCCGAAAGTGTAGACAAAGTTTGTCGAAAAAGGAAAACAGTGTTTTCACTTGTGTGTGAGTGACACTAGACATACTTTGCCGTGCAGCTTTCGGCTTGGAGTTGGATCTGTGATCCAAAAAGTTTTTGTCCCACCCACCACACCCTGTATAGTATGCGGGGTCCGGGACACCGCTTCGGCAGCAGAGCTGCCCGGAGCAGCGCTCCTATGTTCTCTCTCGCAGAGAGGCGTAAGCACAGAGTGCGCTCTTGTACATAGGCCGTAGGCCGTCAGACTACAGAGTAGCAACTTGTAGCTGCAGTGACCCAGTAGGTCAGAGAATGTTTCACCTTATCTTCCCGTGGTACGGGTTTTTCCCTGGTAGGGGGGGGGTGAACCAGTCGTTCGCCTTACCATCGACCAGCGGTCGAGTTTTTAATCGAGATGCCAGTGGCATCGTTTCGTCAGTGCCCGAAGATCGGGCCCGAACTGACCCCCCATGTCCGCTAGGAGAAAAAAGAGAGTGTTTTGCACAGGGTTCCTCTGCAGCGCAGTTAGGGTTTCCCAAACGCGCGCTAACGGAAGTTTCGTTGGAAAATAAAACCCTGAACCCTAAAGCCTAAACCCTAAACTTGCCGGGGCGCGTCGTGGGCATCTGCATCATGCTTAAGTGCAACAGCGGCGTGCGGTCCCTTTGCCTTGGAACATGGATTTAGGATGATTCATGCTGGGTTTCCCTTTTCTTTTTACCTTATAAGGGCATGAGGCTACTGATGTTCCAGCCGAGTCGCAGGGAAGGAGTAACTGCAGGGTTCAACCATCTGGGGTTGCAAAGCCTCAATGAGTGAGTGAGTGAGTGAGAGAGCAAGCGACTAGCTGCACGAGGGAATAAAGCATGAACCCTGAATAAAGCCGAGATGCATGGCCGGCTGGTTGTGCGTGGTGCCGATAATTAACGGCTGCTGCCGCGGTGGGAACGCTAAGTGGTCCGGCAACGGCCTCGAGAGAGAGAAACCAAGAGAGAGATAGAGAGAGAGAGTGTTTATGATTTCTCCATGTAGCATACCGTATTGTGATGTATTTGTTTTATCGGTGATGCACTCATTTTCACTTGAGCATGCGAAAGACATGTTGATTACCCGCAGGCGTTCTTCAGAGTCACAAAAGATTTTCATGGTAGCGGAGCACTGGGAAAGCCCGGTGCCCGAGACACGTGGGTTGAGCTTTCGGTTTCTTGCTTTGCGGGATCCCCCAAGCTCAGGTTGTGAAAGCTTCTCTGGAGTTCAGGGTCCTTTCGGTGAAATCTAGTAAGCGCGGCGGGTAGCTGCAGACACCGCTGCCGAGCGGTCGCCATATCGTGCTACAACGGCCACCTGTGAAGGCCTTGCATTGCTCAAAGAGCGGCTGCATTCGTATTACGTTGAGCAGCTGTGTGAACGTCCTAGGCCAGCCGGCCGTTCAGGAACTTCTTGGGATAACATCCTTAGCACCTATAGGGTAAGCTTTGAGAATCACCTTGAAAGTTTGGAAACCATTGAATCTGTTTGGCATTTCGGGGAAAAGTGCTTGAAGAAGGAGCATTTAAAGGAAGCCTTCAGATACTTTGGTTTTGAGGACGTGTTTAACAGTGCTACACCGCAAGCCGTGCAAGCAGCGATTGTTTTTCCTGAGGAAGAGTGCGAGCGTGACATTGCATTTCAGGACCGGACGTTAGGAGTGTTTGAGCAACCCTTGATACCAGGGAGTGCGTCGATTGATCTGCAAGATTCTTTTCAGTGTGCCTTACAGCCTGCAGAAGAGCCGATTGATCTTGATTGAGCATTGCTGTCTGAACAATGGCAAGTGGAAGCGCAGGTGTTGCACTAGGTGCAGGTGTGGATGATGATGATGATGATGACCCCGAGCTTGCTGAGGGCCCTCAAGCCCCGCAGGCTCCCGGGAACCCGTTCAGCCCGACAGGTGGTGGAGCAGGGATGCTGAATATCAGCCAGAGCGATCTTGTGTTGATGATGAGACAGATGATGGAAGCAACAACAGCGGCGAGTACAGCCGCGCAAGCAGCGCTGGCCGCAGCAACCAAGGAGCGCAAGTCAGGTCTGGGTGGAGGCGACATGTCCCGTCTGTTGCCGAAACCAGATGTGTTTAAGCCTGCAACGCGTGAAGCTGAGCACGGCGAATGGTCGTCGTGGCTGTGGAGCTTGAAGCAGTACCTCAGTGCTTTAGATCCGGCTTTCACTGATGATTTGAGCTACATTGAGCACAACCCCACCAAGGACATGACAGGGGAAGCCTATGCGAGCGTTGAAGCAGAGCAGAGGTCCAAGCAGCTATTTGCTTTGCTTGCGAGCCTCGTGAAAGGCCGTGGTCTTCAGTTGATCCAGAGAGTTGCAGTGCAGAATGGGTTTGAAGCGTTGCGCCAACTTGTGCAGCTTTACCAGCCTGCTTCGAAGACTAGATCGCTTGGAATCTTGAGTGCCTTGACGAGCATGAGCCACTTTCGTGCTAACGAGCCGTTGCTGCCGCAAGTTCTTGATATGGAAAGGATCATTGACGAGTACGAGCGCAGCAGCGCCAAGAAGCTTGACGATGATTTCAAATCAAGCATTTTCCTGAGATCAGTGAGCAACAACATGAGGAACCATCTTGCAACAGTGTTGACTGAAGATGTGACGTATGATACCTTGAGGGAAACAGCCTTGCATTTTGAGCGTATGAATACTAAGTGGGATTCTAAGAATCTTTTTGCAGGGGACAGTCTGTTTTCCAAAAGCCGTGCATCGAATGATGGTCCAGTGCCTATGGAAGTGGATGCGCTTCAGAAAAAGGGCAAGAAAGGTGATAAAGGCAAGTATGGGAAGGGCGGCAACCAGCAGCCCAAAGGAAAAGGCGGCAAAGGTGACAAAGGCAAAGGCAAGGGTGGCAAGCAGCCCGAAGGAAAAGGCAGCAAAGGTGACAAAGGCAAAGGCAAGGGTGGCAAGACAGGCAAGCCATCAGGCAACAAGCAGAATGTTGTGTGTCACTCGTGCGGCAAGAAGGGTCACTATCAAAGCGAGTGCTGGTACCGAGTCCAGCAAGTCCAGAATGCAGGTAGTGATGCAGCCAGCACAGTTGCGCCTAGCACCGTTGGTCCGTCTGCCTCACAGGTTCAAGGTCCGAGTGCTGCCAAGAATGTGAATCGTGTGCAGCTTGAGTCGTCAGTTGAGATTGACATGACCGAGGAAGAGTTGTCCATCCAATATTTTGACGTGCCTGCAAGTGTTCGAGCAGTCAGGTGCGCAGGTGCCGACGAGGAAAGATGTGGTGGAAGCCATGCAGCGCAGGGTTTGTTGGACTTTGGTGACCTCGTGAAGGTCCTAGCCCTTAACCCGCACGGGTACCCTAAGCTTCCCAATCTTCAGCCGGTGACCACAGCTGTGTGCCATGACCTAGCATGCACAGATGGGGATGGAGAGTGGACAATCTGTCATGGCGAATCTCTTGATTTGCAATGTGCTGCACCCGACAACGCCAGGAAGCCTTGCCCTGTCGAGTTGCCTGACCTTGCAGAGGCCATCGAGGCCTTGGATGCAGCCACAGCAGCCAGAAGTTTGTGTGCCGTGCAGCGTTCCAGCGGCGCGGCAGCGCACGCCGAACCGGTTGACATCGAGGTTGTTGTGGACTCAGGGTCCGATGCTTCTTGCTTGCCGATGAGTTGGGGAACGATCGGGCAATCCGGCGGTGCCGACTCCCAGTGGTACCGCGATGCCCAAGGAGACCGCATATCAGGCCGAGAGATGCGCACGGCCACGATTGAGATTGCTGGGGTAAAGTTCCGTGAGCATTGGCTGCTTTCGAGCGTTACCCAGCCTCTCTTTTGTGTTGGCAAGCTGATGAAGCGAAATGGTTGGGACATCATCCATGATGCTGACAGGGTTCCACACCTCACGAGCCCTGATGCTAGAGTCCGCGTCCCCCTGTTTTACAAGAACTACAGCTTGCATGCAAAAGGTTTCATCCGAGGAGTCACGGCCTCCGAGGCCGATGGTCAGCCAGGCATCAGAGCACTTGAGGTTTCAGGCCCATGGCTTGAGTTGTCTGAGGAATTTCATGAAGTTGCTCCTCTTGTGTATGCCCGGCGGGACTTCAGCGGTTGCTTCGTTGATTGTTCAGTGGCATTGTCAGTGCCTCACCTGAGCCTTGGAGTGCAGTACCGCACGACGCTTGTGCAGGACGGTTCGAGTTGGAATGTCATCGAGTTGAATCAGGATCTGTCTTTGCTTGAACAGCCCGAAGCCGAGTTCGAGCCGAAGCAAACGCGGCATGTGATCACAATTGCGTCTTGTGACAAGATTGATGTTGATGTGCTGTTTAATCAAACTGCAACCGGCCCGCCAGAGGCCGAGCACGATGCAAACATGTCCGAAGCAGGGCTTCCTGAGTTCCCTGCTGAGTCCCTTGATGAATTGCTTGAAGATGCGCCGGCCGGAGGGATTGGAGAGGTTGACCCGAGTGAAGCCCCCATCGGTGCCGACACAAGTGCAGCGCCAGACAACTCAGAGCCCGCCAGAGGCCACATCGTTGTTGATGGAGTTGAGCTGCATGAAGGTTGCAATCTTAAGACATTGCGTGCTGCGTGCAAAGCTCTAGGCATAGGCCAGAGTGGCGGCAAAGCCACGGTGCTGGAGCGTCACCAAGTCCAGCATGATTCGATTGCTTTTCAAAGCGAGCCGCGTCAGCAAGCTCCCGTAGCTACTCCGACGCCCGAGCAAATCAGATTGCACTGCCTGAATCACATCCCGTACCAGCCATGGTGTGAGCACTGCATCAAGTTCCAGGCCCGTGCTGACAAGCACACACAAGCCAGGCCCGAGACCAGACAGTGCAGCGTGTGTTCATTTGATTATTGCTTTACTGAGAGGCCTGATGGTGAACGCGGGGAAAAGCGTATATTTGCTTAATTGCCAAGGATGCCCACACTGGTGCCTGTGCTGCTATCCCTACACCTGCCAAGGGAGGTTCGATAGCTTTTCGTTTTCTAGTTGCCGAGCTTTGCAAGTTCATCAGCTTTTGCGGTCATTCTGAAGTCACCCTGCGATCTGACGGCGAGCCCACTTGCCGAGCGCTGCAACAGGGTGTAAAGGACTTTAGGGATAAGCTTAAGCTTGTTACGCACCTTGAGCAAGTCGAGAAGGACAGCCATGAAGGCAATCCAGCAGAGCAGGCAGTCGAGCAGCTCAGACAGTTGACCGGGACACTTTTGTCTCAGCTCGAGCATGAAATGGGCCAGAAAATTTCAACGATGTCCCCGGTCCACGCGTGGGCTTGGAAGCATGCAGCATGGTTGCACACCAGGTATGCGCGGACTGAAGCGCACAGCCCCTTCGAGATCATCACCGGCAGACCATATCTTGGCAAGCTAATGAATTTCTGCGAAGTTGTGTATGCAAGAGTGAAGTCTTCAATCAAAGGTAAAGCCCGTTGGGTCAAGATGATTTCGCTTGGAAAGCTTGGAATTTCAGATCTGCATTTTGGGGCCACGCAAGGAGGTTTTCTGATTTCCAGCCGGAGTGTGCGGCGATTGCCTAAGCAATTTGACGCGAATTTTCTTGAGTACGTTCACGACATGCCTTGGACACAAGCCTCGTTCCTGGCGGGGCAGTCAGGGCAGTCTAGGCTCCAGAAGTCGATTGCAGGCAAGAGTGAGGAGGCCAGCGACCAAGCCAAGTTGCCAGAAGTCGTTGCCAATGATGGGCCGAGGCCCATGCTGCGTCCCGAGCCTCTTGTGCCAGATGATACTGCTTTGTCTGCATTTCTTCCGCCACCTCCATTGCTGATTTCGCCAGAGCCTCCGACCCCTTTGCGAGTGAACCCCTCGCTTGGCCGAGCTACTGAGCCTGCCACACCGGCCGATATGCTTCCTGCATTGTCACCTGTTTCGGAGTCTCCAGCGCCGATGCTGGTTGAAGAGAGTGCAAGCGCTGGCGGGGATGCGCCAATACCACCTGCTGCTGCAAGCAGCAGCGATGGATCCGCCAGCACTGGCGGAACAGTTCGCCCGGCACCCGTGCAGGCCGAGCCACCGGCCAGAAAGCGACTGAGGCTAGATGCTGTTCAGACAGATGCAAGCGGAAATCAGTTGTTTCATCAAGATGAAGAGGTTGTCCTTGAAGGTGAGGTAGCCGAAGAATATCTTGAATGTGCTGATGCAGCTGACTGGGTTGAGTATGAAAGTGAAGCCGAGCTTGAAGTGCCATCTTGTTTGATTAGGCCATTTTCTGAAAGTGAACCAATTTGCAGCCCTGCAGAACTTGATGAAATAGATGCTGTAGCAGATGCATTTGAGTTTCAGCGGCTGTCTGGAATTGGGGTCATAAGTGAAGTGCCTGATCGACTTGAAGGCCATAGAACGCTTACGACCAAAAGCGTGCGGACATGGAGGCCAAAGGTCTACAAAGGATCGAAAGTTTGGCTGAGGCGTTCGCGCCTCGTGGCGCGGGAGTATGCACACTTAGATCCTGATAGGCCTGGGTTGTTTTGCCCAACAACGAACCAGATTATGCTGCGTGTGATTCCAGCGCTCTTTCTGAGACGCCGTGAGGAAGGCTGGTCGATGCTAGCGCTCGATGTGAGCGATGCTTTTCTCCAGTGCAGCCAGCAGCATCCGACGGTCACCCGCATAGGTGATAAGTGGTTCAAGTTGTGGCGGATGCTCCCCGGACAACGGGACGGAAGTGTGACATGGTACAATGATTTCACGAATGAAATGAAAGTCGCTGTCGGAGTTGAATTGCTTCCCGAAAGCCCCACATTGTTCAGACTGCCCAGTGGAGCAGGCGGAGGCTATGTGCATGTGGACGACATGCTGGCTGCCGGCCAGACTGAACGGTTGCAGGTTCTTGAAAGTCACTTGAAGTCAAAGTTTAAGGTGTCTAGTGAGTGGCTTGAGCACATAGGAGATCAAGTATCTTTCTTGAAAAGGCGCCACATCCTTGTAAGCCCCACTTTGCTAGTGATAGAGCCTGACATCAAATACCTTGATCGCCTCATGCAAGTCACCGGGTTAGCAAATGCAAAAGAAAGGTACAAAGCAGCTCCGTTTCCGACCGGAGGTCTGCCCACTGAGCTCGCATCTGATCGTGAGTTAGATGCAGCCACTGCCAGCCGGTATCGTTCAGGTGTCGGTATCCTCGCTTATATGTCCTCAGACCTTGTGGCGTGTCAATTTGCGATTAGATACCTGACTACCTATTCTCACTCGCCTACTGAAGGATCATGAAAGTTGTTGCGGCATGTTGCATCGTACATCAATTGCCATCGCAACCATGTGATCGGGCTCTCGAAGCCTGTGTCCGGCAAGGGCCTCGTGTGCGACAGGTCCCGCGAGGAGAATACGACCGTGCTTGAAGTTTGTTCAGACTCCGACTGGAGCGGTTGCAAAAGAACAAGGAAGTCTGTGAGCTCTTGTGCGATTCTCTGGGACAACATGCTGCTATATGCGCATAGCAAAACCCAGAAGACCATCAGCTTGAGCAGTGCTGAATCGGAATACAATTCCCTTGTGTCCGCTGCGGCAGAAGGTATTTTCTTGTCAGCATGCATCCGATTCCTCCTTCCTGATTACACGCTTGAACAGATTTGCCTTGTAGACAACTCGGCATGTCGAGCCCTGGCGTGCCGACAAGGAGTTGGGAAAATGCGCCACATCAGTGGTAAACTTCTTTGGCTTCAGCAGATGACTAAGGACAATGTGCTGTCCGTAGGGCCGATCCCTACAGCTGAAAATGTGTCGGACCTCGGCACAAAGCCGCTGAAGGCAGAGCGGATTGAAAAGCTGCTAGGCATGATTGGAATCAGATGTGCAGACAGCAACTATGGTGTTATCGGGGAGTCCTATCTCCTCTCAGCGAGGGACAAACTGCATGTGTCCAGAGTTGTTAAACAAGGAGCGCTTAGCACCCAGCAAATCATCCAAGTTCTAGCCATGCTTCTCCAAGTTGATCGCGTCGCAAGTACAAACGATGAGCCCAATACGCAGAATGCCGAGGACGCCTTGAGCCAGGACGACGACAATCTTGGAGTGTTTGCACAGATTCTTGAATGGTTTGTGTACATGTGTTACCTTGTGCGCGATTTTGCACTTGAGTATCCAATTGGGATTATGCTGATCATACAACTGCTGATCTTGATCATGTTGTGCTGTACACTGCTGAGTCGCAATCGCGTTGCAGTGTTGAGGCAGCAAGCTGACAGTGAGGAAAGCAGTGCGGCAAGCAGCAACACGCCCACGCCAAGTGTTGCCGTGCATGTGAAGGTTGAGGGTTCTACGGTTTCGCTAGTCCCGAACCTGCCGAAAACCCTAAGCTTAGCAAGCCCACTGCAGAAAGTGCCACCAGTGCGTCCAGCAGCGCAGCAGCGCGTGCCAATGATCATGATGCTCCAGACCCCAGTGCAAGCTCTTCGAGTGCCGGTGCGATGCCGAAAGCAACGTCTTTCCCGCCTCCGAGGCACGTTATCGATGAGTGGAGGGCTGAGCAACTTGTATGGGTTACCAAATCCAGAGGCAAGTCATATCATCACAGGCGGACATGTGGAACGCTTGGGAACGCAAAGGCACTTGAAAGGATCAGCAGGCAAGAAGCCATCAATCGAGGATTCAAGAAGTGCAAATGTTGTTACGGCAGTACTTGAAGTAATGCTCATGATGCGCCAATCCATGGGTTCATTGCTTTGGCACTGAGCCGATTGGTTGGATCTTGTACAAAGGCCGCGAAATGACTGTACATAGACTTGTTGAGCAGAACTTGTCTCCACCATTTTGGTGGCAATACCGCATTGACTTACCAACCACTGAGCCAGCTGTGGAGCAGCTGGGAGTCTTCATAGGTAGGCATCGTGCCACCTGATGCATATAGGCATCGCAATCCTTGTGTGCGGATTCCATAGGAATACCAACGTCTTGATGGGGGCAGCTGCGAGCTGCATGAAACCCACTTGAATGTTCCTTGAGTTACTTGTATGCCGAGTGCAAAACTTGAACCTTGGAAGCGCCTTCGCTTGGGTGAGTCAAGCTTATCACTTCGTCGGCTGCTCCTAGCCTTCTGAAGTGGTGTAACTAGTCGTAGTTGTACAGTCCTACGTAGTAGTAGCAGTTGAGCCAACGACCCTTAGAGGCAGAGCTCGAGAACGCGCAAACTTTCTTATGAGTGCAGTCGTGAACTAGTGTATTTGTTTGAGCAACGGAGAATCATAGTACAGAAACCCATGCCAAGGCCATGAGAGTCTGTAGGCGGGGTGTTTATGATTTCTCCATGTAGCATACCGTATTGTGATGTATTTGTTTTATCGGTGATGCACTCATTTTCACTTGAGCATGCGAAAGACATGTTGATTACCCGCAGGCGTTCTTCAGAGTCACAAAAGATTTTCAGGAGAGAGAGAGAGAGAGAGAGAGAGAGATAGAGAGAGAGAGAGAGAGAGAGAGAGAGAGAGAGAGAGAGAGAGAGAGAGAGTGGACTGCACCCGCCTAGAGAGAGAGAGAGAGAGAGAGAGAGAGAGAGAGAGAGAGAGAGAGAGAGAGAGAGACAGAGAGAGAGAGAGAGAGAGACAGACAGAGTCTCAGGAGGGAGCGGCGTCGTTGGGTTCGGCAAAGCGCGGACCATAAATGGCAGAGGTGGCGGCGGCAGCGGCATCGCGATCAAAATTATGTTATGTGTTTCTCCATGTGACCTATGTGACCATCACATGCAGTCATCGATCGAGCTGAAAAAAGCTGCGCAATGAGGTGGTTCCAAAAAGCAAACTGGATTGCAAGAAAGGGTGTCAGAATCGACGGGCTCAGAGGCTACAACGCCTGTGGAAGCTTTTCCAGACGAACGTGAACCGGCATGCAGTCCTCAGGAGTCCAGCCACCAATCATCCAAATCCAATCACCAATCATCCAAAGGTCCTGCGAGACAGCAAGAGATTCAAGACAGATATTGCGAGAATCGGATGCAGTCCTGGAAAAGGATCTCAGGGCCGAAGTTCTCGATGGCAACAATGGCTGTGGCTTGGTAGAATTAAAGGTTTTTGGTTGTAGGGCGTCAAGGTCTTTAAGGGTTCAGTTATCGGATGAAGTATGTTTTGAGGAAAGCGTTCTTTGATCTAGGCTGCCGAGGCAGACTCTAGACTCTAGATCGATTACGACAATGCAGCTTGGAGCATTCGAACGGGATGAGTGCCTTCGGGCAAGCAAGCACGAAATCAGTCTTTAGACAAGCATGCTTGCACCCAAGCGATCGCGTTTTTCCGTTCCCTCAAGCATTCAATCACTTCCCCTACTTGATTCCAAGAAGCTGCTTCAAGTCCTCTTGAGAGAAGATCTCGCCAGAATCCGAAACGAACACATCCAGTCCGAGTGCTTGCATGCGGCGTAGCTGCTGCTTGGCTCGCTCCTTGAACTCCTCTGATATGCCTTCCTCTTTGCTGGGCCGGCCGACCTGAGACGATCCACTCGAGCGATCCCCACGAGGGCTCCTCGAGGATGTTCGACCGCCTGCGGACGATTCGGCGTTTGGCCCTCTGTCGGAGCTCGAGCGAACCCCACTCGGACCGTTGTCGGAGGACGATCGACCGCCTGCAGATCCGCCGGCACTCGGACCGAGCAGAAAGCCTCTTCGCATGGTGGCAGGTCAATCTATTCAGGGATCCCTTGAGTGATTGAAATCGCTGCAGCAAGCAACCATGCTGAAGGGTCAAACGACCAAGGTACCCAAGTGACAGAACCATGCAATCCAAGCAAACAACCAAGGAGAAACAAGCAAGGTGCCCAACCGGCCCACCAGCCAAGGCAAGCGAGCAACCATTTTTTTACCTGCAAATCGACCAAACGACCAACCGACCAAGCCAAGCAAGCAACAAGTGCGAAACAAGGGTGAAACATGCAAGGTGCACAATCGGCCAACCAACCAAGTCAAGCGAGCAACCATGCTAAAACAATCAAATCGACCAATCGACCAAGCCAAGCAACCATGGTGACACAAGAGTGAAACAAGCAAGGTGCACAAACGGCCAACCGACCAACCGACCAAGCCAAGCAAGCAACAAGGGCGAAACAAGGGTGAAACATGCAAGGTGCACAATCGGCCAACCAACCAAGCAAAACTGCCAAAACAATCAAATCGACCAACCGACCGACCAAGCTCTCGGTGGGGCTTCCTACGGCTCTCGGTGGGGCTTGCTTGGCTCTCGGTGGGGCTTCCTACGGCTCTCGGTGAGGCTTCCTACGGCTCTCGGTGGGGCTTGCTTGGCTCTCGGTGGGGCTTCCTACGGCTCTCGGTGGGGCTTCCTACGGCTCTCGGTATTCTCTCGGTGGGGCTCGCTTGGCTCTCGGTGGCTTCCTATACGGCTCTCGGTGGGGCTTCCTACGGCTCTCGGTGGGCTCTCGGTCGGGCTTCCTAAACGGCTCTCGGTGGGCGGCTCTCGGTGGGGCGACGAGTTTTCCGGGGCTCGGACTATTTTTTTCCCGAGGGTCCCGACGATATTTTCCAGGATCCCGACGATATTTCTGGATTCCCGACTATATTTTTGCAGGTCCCGAGGGTCCCGACGATATTTTCCAGGATCCCGACGATATTTCTGGATTCCCGACTATATTTCCGGAGTCCCGACGATATTTCCGAAGTCCCGACGATATTTCCGAAGTCCCGACGATATTTCCGGAGTCCCGACGATATTTTGGCCAGAAATGCATTCCCGACTATATTTTGGGTTGCTTTGATGTCCCGACGATATTTTGCCAGCCCCGACGATTTTTCTTCGGAGTCTGACGATAAAATATAGCCAAAAGCATGTCCAGGTACTAAGCTAACCCGGCGGAGCCGGCCGAATCCGGCCAAGTAAGCGACTATGGCAAGATTATCTCCCTGAATATGAACGACTCGAATTGATACCCCCCTTCCCCTGAGGGTGAGCGCGTATTCTAATGACCGGATTGCCGCTAGTATTGCCGCCTCCGCCTCGGCCTCGTAGGCATCTGCACAGTCAGGTAAAGGCAATGAGAAAGTAATGTCCGCCGCGCCGGTGACTACTTGATGCCACATCGCTACGCCAGCCCCCCCAGCTGTTAAGTGTCGCTTGCATCCTCCATCAAACTGGACATACAGTGCATCCGCAGGGTACCGCTGCACATGGGCAGTAAGGTAAGCACCTGCAGGGATGCTACATAGCGCAGTGACGAAAGCATGAATTCGGCCGCAGGTGCAAAGGCGGTGTTCAACGCGGACATTCGGTTTCGCAACCAAATGCGCAAGGTAGAGCAACCCAACCTCCACTGCATGGGGGTCGAGTACAGCGACAGAGAAGCCCTCTGTAAAATCGACTGTAGTGGTAACAGCCGGTTGCTGACCAGTGGCTCTATGGCGTACTCGAGAGAAAGCATCCGGCGCCGAGACACTAAGGCCGCGGGAAAAAAGGCAGCCGTGACTCGATCCATTGCGTAATGAATCCGCCGGCGGCCCATAGACCGAGCGGAACCGGGCGGGCGCCCCCCAATAGGCGGCGGTCGCGATTTTGATTGCATGCTCAAGGGGTCCGCAGTCATGGATTTTTGACGGCGGAGTCCAACCCGGGGTCCACATTGCGCCAAGCTCTCTGAGATAGCGCCGTGCAGAGGCGATAAGCTCTAGCGAAGACGCGGCATGTTTGGGCAGGCCTCGCCCCTGAAGCACTAGTGGCTGTTGTAGTCCAAGCAATCGTGCAGAGTGCGTAACGACAGGGCATTCGCAGAGCCAATGCCTTACAGAGTTGTCCGCATGGCCGCAGAGCAAGCACGGATGCTCCAGATAATTAAAAACTGCGGGCGATATGGCGCCAATTCTCCTCGGGGTGGGTGTTGCATCTAGATTTGGCATGCTCCACCATTCGTCTCCTGCTTCGAGGATGAAGGGTGCAAGCGCATCAACTCTACACGCGAGCCAAGCTTTATGCTCAGGCCAACCGAGGGCTAAAAGACAACCTCTACAGAGACTGCCCTGTCCCGAGTGCCCGAGGCGCTGCAGGCTGGCCGGGTGGTGTGGATGGTGACACTGAGCACACGTGACAGGCCGTGTATAATGTTGGCGAAACACAAAACTTGCATCAGCCTCTTCGGCCACGATCCACCGAAGTGCATAGGCCCGTGCAACCGTGCTAGAGAGACTGGCCGGACAATTAAGGACGCTTGCAACCCATTGCAAGCCGGCCGACGCCCACGGCTGCTTGGCAATTTTGTCAAGCAAGTAGTGAGCGGCTTGTGAGTCTTCTGTCTCGAGGATGCAGCGTTTATAAAGTTTGCGGATGTGAGACAGCGATTCCTTTGTGGACCCTTCGTTCCAAGCGCTAAAGTTGGTAGCAACTAAAGTTCGCGCGTATTGTTGGAGGGCGTCCCGTATGGGTAGAGCAGCAGTAGTATTATCAAGGCTGCGGGTAACCTGTCCCAGAACGGCAGCGAGGAGAGGCTTTTCCCCCGGTAAGACCGGACGCATTCCCCCAACTGCCGCGATCGCAAGTTTTGGGGCTAATCGCAACAGAAACCCCAATCGCCCTAGAGGGCATGACAACCGCCAGGTACCGGGCTGCGGAATCTTAAAAATGCGAAAGACGCCATTGACGTGCTTCGCTTCGAGCCAATGTCTTCCACCCCCAAGAACGTATTTAGCGCAGGCGACCAGGGTGCGCTGCTGCTCGCCTGCATCTGGCGGAATGACTTGCTGGGTATATTGGAGGCAGCTTTGCAGATACGCTCGGCAACATATGGCACGCTCCGGTAAAGACTGGCGGAGTGGCTGGAATAACTTTCTTTTACGGGCAATGGACGATGCCGCTTTTTGGCCCGTGAGGAGGATTTGCGCTTTCGGAAGGGTGGAAGGGCCAGCCGTGCTGCCAACGTATGTTGGCGCACCCCACAATACAAAGCCTAATACCGGCGCAGATTCCGTACACAATTTGGGTCCCCAGGGTGTGGCATCCAGTTGATGAATTTGCTCCGGGGTAGGCGCACGTCCAAACAACAAAGAGGATTTGCACTTGCATTGACACGGGGCTCGCAAAAAAGCACTGAAAATCTCGCAGCTGGCAAAGTGTCCCGCAAGGTAAGCCCGCAGAGCATGTTGTGTGACTAGAAGAAGGGTTTCGCCTGACTTGCAACAAAACCACTGTATTCCCGGAGCGTCAGTGGGGTGCAACTGGTGAACCCTACGACAGACTTCAGTGAAGCTGGCTGCCGTGAAACGAGGATCCGCTGTTTGATGGAAGAGATCCTGGAACTCTAGTGGTACAGGCGAGACGACCCCTGTTGCTCTGGCATGGCTCAAGCGTTCTGCCATGGCAAATGGGACCCGTACAGAAGAGAAGCACTGGTGCTTGAGGACATGAAAGCCAGCACTATAGAGAGAAGCGAACCTGATTTGCGCGTCGCCTACCCATGTAACGTCTGAGCCTGCTGTGGAGTTGTCGTCCATGTATGCCTTGAGCATTCGCACCCGAGGGATGCGATGTAGCGAACAAATGAGTGGGTCCATCGCAACACAGAATAGAAGAACGGATGTAGCCCGTCCCATGGCGAGGCCTTGTCTCATGCGAAGCGGCGGTAGTAGGAGGCCTTGAATACGGTGTAAAGATTGACGACCATATAGAAGGTGAATGGCATATTGCCGAACCCACTGAGGAACGTAGAGGCGGTCTAAGACCTCAAGCAGCCAGCCGGGGTTGACTCTTTCAAAGGCCTTGGCCATGTCGGTAAGGAGAACATTGCAAGGCTGCGACTCTGACAATAAGCAGTCCTGAACTACCAAAAAATTAGCAGGCGCCTCTTTTAATTGACTGACAAGGGCCTGAGATTGGTTGAGGCAAGGAGCAATGACGGCCATGGCCGACGCAAAGACAGCAGAGTCAATGATACGAGCAGCCGTGTCGGGCATATCAAGCGGTCGGAAGTTGTCCGCATACTGGCCCGCGTCCGCTTTGGGGATGAAAGTCAATGCTTGTGTTGGGGGCGGGGCGACTCCGAGGATGATATCCAAAAAATGCGAATATAGAGCGCGAGCAGACTCTGTGGGCAGCTGGCGGTAGCACTCATATGGGCAACCATCGGGCCCAGCCGATGAATCACCCGTACGCAAGAGATGGAACATGATGTCCTCTTCTTGGGGAAGAGTACACCGGGTTGCACGCGGGGGTCGATATTCGCTGAGCACTGTCTCCCATTCCGGGGAATAGTCCGGTGGAGATTGCTGCCAGAAGGCACGCGTAGCACGTAGAGCGGCATCTACCTCACCCACAGTGGCGCAAGGTGAGCCGTCAGCCCGTAAAACGCCAGTGGTTCCAAATGATCCCAACGACGAGCGATGAAGATCCCATCTCGGATGTTTGTGTGGCATGCGTGCCCCCAGCTGACGAGAGTCTTTAATTGTGGGAGGGGGAGCGACGTGGACGGTCTCAAGCGTAGTCAACTGCATGACAACCTGCTGAGCCTCTATAGCGCTGATTGTTACCGGGTGGCCTTGCGTATGAAGGGGCCGCGTTTGGAGCAGGTGTTGGAAAGTCTCAAAAATGGCCCATGGGATGATGAAGGATGACGCATGTGGACGTTTGCGCTGTCGGTTTAATAAGTATGGAAGCGCGCCATACTTCCCTTCAGAGACAG